TTTCTATGCGCAATGGTTGTTGCCCTGCTTGCATATAACCAGGGTATTCGATCTGATTAATTCGGATATTCAAAGTCTTATTCTAGATAGGTGGATTATAAACCACAGCGAAAAGCATTCAGATCAGAACTACACTGTGGTAATGGCGGCCTCAGGAAACGTCATGGGTAAGCCATCAAAACTAGCTCAAACGGAGGATGTCCTTCAAGAGCTGGGAGTCTCTTTCAATAGTTTAGGTACAGCGAATTACAATTTTCAGTGCAATCAACTTTGACGTGTAGCAGCTATGATAGGGAAGTATCGGGACATCCAGCTAATATTTGATAGACAGAGCTTGGCAACACAGACTATGGAGATTAAGCGTACCTGTCTTCCGTCTACAAGCGTCAAGCTGAGAACCAATAATCAACCAGTAGCTTCAACAAGCGGTTCGATTGAAAAGCGGAAATCAGTTTCAGTCAGTCGATCAGTCGACATTGAGAACAACGAAGTCGTCCTAGGTGACCCACTAGAGCATGCTGCGTTCCGAAGACTGACAACAAAGACATTGGCAAAGTACAAATTGGACGCTAAACACAGAAGGCAAACCAATCCGGCATCACCAATGAAGGCCAACTATTGCAGTGTCTGCAAATCTGCGTGGAATACGGTCGATATGGGCGATGAGCAACAATGGATCTAGTGCCAGAAATGCGAGCGCTAAACACACATCAGTTTCGCTGCTTACAGTGAAGAAGAAGCATACGTTTGTGTGCATTGCATCAGTCGATGAGCATGGACGTCAAAAGCAGAAAGTAATTGAAAACGGCCCTCTAAGAGTCATACCAATGTGGTTTATTTACTCTCAAAAGCTATTCTAAATACTATTCTGAAACCTTCAATCTAACTTTCACCAATTCCACGCCGGAAATCCTGGCATATCCAGAATTAAGGCACTCACCCACGGTTATGCATACCGGCGCGCAATAGACGCCGACATAGAGCAGACTGTGAACCAATGCTCTCGCTGCCAAGAAGCTGCAAAACTTCCAGCTCGACAACCACCTTCGCCATGGCCTAAAACAGAGACACCATGGTCTCGGCTGCACATCGATTTCGCCGGGCCAATCAACGGGATTTACTACCTCATCGTCGTCGATGCATACTCCAAATGGCCGGAGGTGATTCCTTTGAAGAACACCACTTCGTCCGCTACCATCGCCGCACTCCAGAAAATCTTCGCTCAACGCGGCATTCCTGTAGAAGTAGTATCCGATAACGGATCACAATTCACCTCGGCTCAGTTCCGCGAATTCTTCAGCCGCTTGCAAATCCGGTATTTACACTCACCACCGAACCATCCACAGTCTAACGGCCAAGCGGAAAGGTTCGTGGACAGGTTCAAACGCGCACTTCAAAAGTCGCACGGGGAGGGGACCAGTGATGCGCGCCTCAGCCAATTTCTGCTTCTCTACCGCACAACCCAAAATCCATCGGTACTTGGAGAAGTCTCGCCGGCAGAACTGCTAATGGGTCGAAAACTGAGAATCGTCCATGCAGCCATGATTCCATCGGCCACTAGTGTTCATAAGTCGTTAGCTCCGAAGTGCACCTTCGCCAGTGGATCCCGTGTCTACGCACGCGATTACCATGCTGATCACCCCCAGTGGGCGCAAGACACAATACACAAGCGTTGCGGTAGCAGGCTGTATGATGTGAAGGTCGGAAGCGAGACGTGGGTCCGACATCAAAATCAACTCGGGCCCAGACATGAACAAAGTCTCAAGCGCACCGCAACTTCGATCTCAATTCCACTGGACATTCTGACCGACACGTTCACTCTTCCAGTACACAAGCTAGCCGAACCACTGGAACCCAACCTGAGAGCAAGACGCTTCACCAACAGAGTTCGACGCTCTGTACGACCCTTCCAAGTGGACCCAGAGGCCAAACGCTACCAATGATCTTTGTTAGGGGAGACGTTAGGTAAAACGACTTTTTTTACCTAAAACTGACTATTTTTCGAGAATCTTCAATTAGGAGTATCTCTAATCAATGCGAATCTCGCGGAGAATAATAAATCATATCGCGTCACACAGAGACATTCACTCCGTCCGTCTGATCCGTGACTTATGATCGATTGAACTTTGATAACTGTGTATTTGATTGGCACAATCTTTTTCCCGCAATAATCCATGCTGTTTTGGGTCACATATGAGCATCACAGTAAAACTTGTAAATTGACTTGCTTCCTGTGTGTCAAGTAACGTTCGCTTTGCACTAACTGTGTAC